CTGTTCTGTAACCTACCCAGGCCCTCCCATTACTTGTATAAGTTCCGTCCTTGTCTGTATTGCCAAAATGCAATACCTCACATTTATCTAAATTAAACACCATCTGCCACTCCTCAGTGCATTAACCCAATTGATGAAGATCTCTTTGTGATCTTAGATGAACTTCTTCACTGTCCACTATACCACCAGTTTTGGTGTTATCTGCAAATTTACTAACCATGACTCCTATATTCTGATCCAAATCATTTATATAAATGACAAACAGAAGTGGACCCAGTACCAATCCCCGTGAAAAACCTCTGGTTGCAGGCCTCCAGTGTGAAAAACAACCCTCCACCACCAGCCTGTCTTCCTCAAACAGAAATATAAACCGAAAGACCAGAAACTGTCTGGAATCATGTGGTTTCCAAAAAATGCCTTGTTTTAAAACAAGTTTGAATGTGTTTTCATTGACATTTAAATAAAGAATCCAGGCATCTACATAATCCTTAGGGATACTTGTGGCACAGTGGTAGTATCTCTAAACTCAAGGCCCACCTGCTCCAGAGGTATGACGTGACGTATCTGTACAAACTGATTAAAAATATTTATACAAGACTCAAAACTCAAGTTCATAAAAACGATTAAATATGAAGCAACTTCATAACATCAACTCCATTTTGTTGCCTTATCCCCATATTTCCTCAACCTTCAATAATATCTATCTCAGAATTGAATATATTAATGGACCAAACACATATTGAGTTCGACAATTCCATACTACTGAATGAATTTCTCTTCATGGTCCTATATGGGTGAGCCCCTTGTCCTGAAACAATGATTAAATGGAGGAAGCCACCCCCTCTCAAACATCTCTTGACATATGAAGCAGTCTAGTAATGTTTCAGAGATAGTAGGAACTGCAGATGCTGGAGAATCTGAGATAACAAGGTGTAGAGCTGGATGAACACAGCAGGCCAAGCAGCATCAGAGGAGCAGGAAGGCTGACGTTTCGGGCCTAGACCCTTCTTCAGAAGTCT